CGACATCGCTCGAGCACTATCGCCGCGACGAAGCAAGCGATGAAATGGCGACAGACTTTTCAACGGGTCTCGAACGACGTATGTCGCCACTATAGGGAATCGATGTGGATAGTAATTGATTGCCGATGTAGTATCGCCTGGCTATCGCTAGTCTTTCCGTTTGTGCATGTGGCCGTGGCGAGAACTTTAAGTTATCCGATCGACACAAAAGTTAAAGTTATGTCAAAAATGTCGTCGCCTAGACATCGCCACGTTTGCAAACCGGCGGTACATTTTAGGCGACAAAATAGCGATATTGAGGCAATATATATTCGGAACTATAATTCGATAAAAAAAATTGAAAGAATTTACCTTGGCTAGACTCGAACCACATAGAGTGCATTCCCTCATTTCTGGCGCACCGGCGACCAAAGGCTTTCGAGACAATACCATTGAGTCATTGTGTAACTCATCAGCAGGGTGTGTTCCGGTGCGTTATAAGGGTTGACCTGCCGATGTAGAGTGTCCACCCGTCCTTCCGACCTGCACGGGGCTCCTCTCTCCAAGACAATGCTCATGCTCATGCTCGACTCGGAGCGGTGGACACTCTAGGTTTCGGGTGCGATCCCTTCGACCACGGTGTTTATGAGTCCAACAAAGGCAGCCAGAAAGCAAAGCCTCGCCGGTGCGCCAGAAATGAGGGAATGGACCCTACCTTTGTGTTACTGAACAGCTGCCTTGACCATTCAGCTACGGGGTACCCGCTGAGAGCCGGGCGTCAGCTACCGGTGTGCCTCTCTTACTCGGGGACTTTCCCGCCCGCGAGCGACAGACCAGCAGACCAGCGAGTCAGCTGAGACATCTTTCAGATATCTCCAAGTCATCGCCAGGGCGAAAATGCATGTGGAAGACTTAGCGAAATTCGTCAGCAGTGCGATACTAGTAACTTGCCAACCAGAGAATATCTGACAGATATCCATACATGTGCGTATTTGTGGTTAATATTGGAGATACAGAAAGAATAGCGCCTCGATATCTACCCCGCATCAGTGCCACGATCATGTCGCCGAGTTATCACCACATTGCTCTTGAGGCACTAGCCCAGGTGTTCTCTCGCCAGGTCAAGGTATCGCCAGCTTATCAAAATATTTCATGCAAGCAATAGTTCTTTTTAGCCCGCCCTTCTGCTTTTAAAAAAGCATTATTAGCCCGCCCTTCTGCTTTTAAAAAAGCATTAAAGCGGGCTTATGCAACCGCTCTCGTGTCTGTCTGTCTGTCTGTCTGTCTGTCTGTCTGTCCGTCGTCCGTGTAAGAGGAAGGAGATGAGCTAGAGGTCTACAAATTTCAGGGTATCTTAGGGGTCACTCCTGGACAACGAAACGCCTGGTGCAAATCCTGGCAACCACCCCTAAGGGGGTGAAAGGGGGTAACAAAGAAATAGGGGTTGGTCAAAAGAGTAGGAATTTTTTTTTTTTATGGTCTTCTAAGGGGTAACTCGTGAAAGTAGAGCCCTCTGGGCGAAAATTTTGTCCGTTTGACTCTATCTTGCACCGTTTGGGCGCTAGCGTGCTTTTTTCGACGAAAATACGGCGAAAATGGCCACGTTGCACATTAAGACGTACAAGGAGGCGTCCAATCGTAAAATGTCAGAGGGAGTACCCCCCCAAAACAACACATTCTGAATCAGGATCTACCCTCGGATTTGCCGTATCTTTCACTGTTTTGACCTTAGAGGTGGATATATTAAAAACAATGGCAAAAAGTCAAGTTTTAAGACTGTTTGACAAACAATATACAATCTAGAAACTGCGTGGGTTAATTTTTTGTAAGCAAAGCAGAAGGGTGGGGTGTAGTCACGGTGTTGCCCCGTTACAGTCTTTTGTCATGTCCAAGGAGCAAATTTCTAGGGCCGCAGGCCCCCCACAGGACGCTTTATATTTACTCAAATATGCAGAGTGATTTCCCGGTCACATTATTTATTTGATGATGCACTTCAGTAAATCGCGAGACTGAAATGGTCGGGCCGAAGGCCCGACCATCGCCGCCGGCAGGCCAAGCAGGCCCGGTCCCTGCCGAACGGAGTTGCCGGCGCAGCGAAGTGGAGCTGGCAACTCCGTTTGGCGGTAGGGCGGGCCTGCTTGTTCATCTGGTGAGCGACATACTTTTTCCCATATCGCGGCGATAACTCTAGGCACCAAAAGATAATTTGCTGGAAAGTTGCACAGCGCATAGTTATCGGAAAATTATCGCCTGAGCGTCATCTAATGACGGATATCCTAGCGATAGAGTTTTGGCGAGCATTAATTTGATCCTACTTCCATATCTACTAGTTATCGTGTCACCATCGCCAGGGCGAAAACGCCATCGGTAGGTCGAGGCGATAAACGTAAGCAACAGCATGGCGACAACTGGTACATTTTATTTAGAGAATATCGAACAGATATCCACAAAAGTATGTATTAAAGTAGACATCGACAGGATGTCGCCTCGCTCTCCGCCAGGCGATAGTGTTTAAATGATATCGCCAAGTCATCGCCGCCCAAACCTCCAGGCGACTCATCATCGCCCGATATCGCCGTGCTACATGGGTAGTGCACCCTACAACAGTCGTACGACGAATTAGTCACAAGTTGTGGTCTCGCCCTCTATTTCAATCTCCAAAGTGCATCTAATCCGCTTACCGAATTCGACTCAGGGCTACCTACACAGGCGTCATCCGGAGCGTCTGGTCGATGATGGACGTGCTTGAGCAGTTCTCAAGCTCCGGCTCGGTCCTCGGTCCTCTCAGCCAATCGCTGCGCCCGATCCGACCAGACAGCGCCCCTGGCGGCCGCCTGCCAAAGCACGGGAACGCGATAACGACGAGATATTCGGAGCGCAGAGTATCCCCAAAACGCCAACACGGGGTATCTGCGGACAATCCTGGTGAAATACATGTTTCCCGTTTAACGTTTTACCACAACACAAAACAGCGAGGGGCGTCAATTTTGTGACATTCATGTGCCCATGTGTCGGCACTACAACGCCAAAGAGCTCTGGGGTGGAGGGTCATTCCCTACAGGTGTTACCGTTAGTAACGAAGCTCTACCCATCCAGAACCTCTAGATCTTCTAGACTTCTTGGACCTCTAGACCTTCTTGATCTCCCAGTCAGCGGGACCGTCTCGGTGACGACCAGGCCGACTGTTAGGACTTCGAGACCCTCTAGAACTTCTTTTCCTCGGCCCGATGTGGACTTCTAGCTTTCGGCTCGATGTGGACTTCGAGACCTTCTACAACTTCTGACCTCTGACCCGTTGTGGACTTCGAGACCCTCCAGAACTTCTTCCCCTGGGCCCGATGTGGACTTCGAGACTTCTCCCGAGCTCCTAGAACTTCGAGATCTTCAATCTTCATCACAACTTAGTTGGGTTCGCTGGCGCTCCTATCGGAGGCCAGAGGGTAGAGGGAATGACCTCTCCTGCTTACCGCGCCTACTCCTTTAAATTACACTGGCTGAGGCATGGCGGTCTGAGTAAGCGGGAGGCGCAATCAGCGACTCGCGCAGTCGGTCATTCCCCAGGCTTCGCATTGATGTGAGAACAGCCACCCGCCCTTCAAAACCATTCCGGTGCGGCATACTGCCAAGGCCGGCATAGGGTATAGGATATGGGGGTAAATCTGTGTAGGGACAGCCTTTTGAGTTGAGCAGTATAGTGGTCGGTTTTCCGTGCCAAGGTAACTTGGATACGTACTGCTCAGCGAAACTGGTCTGTGTAGGGTAAGCCTTTTGAGTTGAGCAGTGTAGTGGTCGGTTTTCCGTGCCAAGGTAACTTGGATACGCACTGCTTAGCGAAACTGGTTTGTGTAGGGTCAGCCTTTTGAGTTAAGCAGTTTTGTGGTCAGTTTCCAGTACCAAGGTGATGACTGCTTAGCGAAATTGGTTGGTTAGGGTCGTTAGGGTCGTATTTATGGTGTACAGAGTCGTGGCGCGAACCTTCGAAACTCTGGCGGGATTTTCCGCGTTTTTTGTTTTTGTTGACGTCGGTGTACGCGATTCAATAAGCAAAATTCTAAAAATCCAAGATTTAGCCATTGAAAGATAAGTTCTTATTAAATTACCTGAGTTGGATATCGTTTTGTCCAAGATATAATAACGAAATTGACTGGAATGGTTAAAAAAGTTGTTTTGTGTTGTTGTTTTTTTTTTTCAGATTAGTCCTGCCGTTTAGTCCTGCCGTCCTGCGTTTTCCAAAATGAGTGAAGAAGATATTATGGAGATTTCCAGTGATAGTGAGGACGACAAGCTGGTTATCGTTGAAGATGCCGAAGAAAAGGTAAATTTTACACGGACTTAAGCAATGCTGTGCTGGCATTTTGTTGCAGTGCTAATTTTTAAAATTTCTCTGTTTCAGTTACCTGATGTGTTCCTCTTGCCACATGAAGTGAGTACTCGGCATTGTTTTTTAATAAGGTAAATCTTTGTTTCAAATTTACTAATCATTTCGTGTTTTCGTAGAAGAATAACCCTGCTGACCAACCGGGACGAACCGAGGATGGAGAGGTTGACGAGGTATGTAAAAAATTTTAATCGACGACATAAGTCGTCCAACAGACTATTAATGACTTTGCTTTTTAACTTACAGGAAAGCAAATTGCCAGAAAAGAGAAAGCGCGTAAAGGGAGAAAAAGAAAAGAAAAAGAAAAAAGCCAAGAAACAGAAGAAATGCAAACCTGAGGAAACAGAAGAAGTAGACATGAACGTCAAGGCAAGTGAAGAAATGAAAGAAGCTGAAACAAATAGAAATGAAGACCTACCTTCTACGAGCGCTGCTAACATCAGCGAAGATCTATTTGATAATGATGATGAGCTTGAGGACTTCATGTCACAGTCTGCAGAATCAGCTGCATTACTTGAGAAGGTCCAAAATTCGGAGGAATTGGGGGTTGGCACAACCCCCAAAACCCAGAAAGTACTGTCTGAAGAAGAAAGACTTTCGGCTCACATAAATTCTCGAATTGAAAGTAACGCTGACTCCGACGAACCTGCGAACAAGGCCTGGGCCAATTTGGCAATCGCTGAGAAGCGTGCTTTGACAGTAATAAATAGGTTCAACGGCAGCAAGGCAAAGGGCGCTGACCTTCGAAAAGCAATATCTAATTTTAACGTTGAGGAATACAAAATGAATTCGACAGTTCTTCGTGAGTGGAAGAACTGCCTGTCAAAGTGTATGAGCATCGTTCAATCAGAAATGCAGAAGCCAAATATTGAAAAGGCAAGCAAACTCTTATCAGAGTCAGATGACAGCAATTAAAAAATCACTTGAAGACGTGAAGCTCCTCGAAAAAGAAATAGAAGACACCGACAAGCTACTTAAGCAAATGAGTACTGCTTTTAGTAGCCACTTTGAACAGAAGATGTCAACTATGGCGGTGAAGGCTGTTTCAATTAAAAACAGCATAAAGGATATAAAAAAAAAATCACCTTGCTTTCTGATATCGATTTTAAGCCGTCAGATCATTGATTGTTTTCGGCAGTATTAACAAAAAGTATGTTTGCCATTGACATTGTTTAATTTGATATATTTCAATTTCTAAAATTGGTAAGATTAATGTACCTTTCTAATTGTGGTAAAGTTTAATGATTAATTTGTGTTTGATTGTCAATGTCAATTGTTTAATTTGATATATT